AGACGTGCACAAAGCGCGTAAGTCACAAAACTGACATCTCCGCATAATCCGACAAAAGGCGACAAATGCGCGCAGAAAAGCAGCCGCGCCCGCAGCTACGTGAGCACGCCTTTCCCATCTTCGGGATATAGAGTGTTCCTTCCAAACTACCCACTTACTCTTATTGAGTGATTGTTAGTTTTTTTCCAAAAGTACATGGATTACAGTGATCGTCTGAAACAACAGCTGGACGTTGCCACGAGAGAAAGGGATTCGAAAGTCGCTGAGGTCGCTGCATGTGATATTGTTATCACGCGACATCAGGTACAGTCTTTATCCCTGAAAACGAGGGGCATGTATTGGAGCGCGGCCATGGCGGCCTTCTGCACCAATTGGCGTCATCCTGAGCTCGCAGCAAATGGTGAATAAAAATGTCCTAGCTGCGCTTCAATCCACGCCTCCGGACTTGAAAGTTTCACGTCTTCAAAACAGAGATCTGGGGGCTTGCACGATTGTGCACGGCACGAAAACGGGCATAGGATCAGTAATGTCCCTTACTTTTGTAATATGTCTCATAGGATTTGTAATGTCCCTTACTTTTGTAATATGTCTATCTGCAGAAGTGATAATGAGATACTTTTCGTGATATGTCTATCTGTCATGTAATATTCCGAAGTTTTAGTAATATGTTTCGTATACTTGAAGCATATTGCTTGTCCTCTTTTCTCTACACCTAAAGAGCACCCTATCGTCCGTGAAGGGCGGTTCGTTTCGTGGGTAACAGGTCGTCATAGGTTGCGCTCTTTTTTCGTGCCATCCCATTCATACTCTTTCCAAAAATCGATATTCGTACTCATTCAGATCGAGCGTGACGTAATCGAATTTCAGAACGAAAAGGACACTATGCAGAAAGCGATAGCATACATGGAAGAACGAATGCAAGTCTATCAGAACACCCTAATGGAGCACGATCTTGTCGTAAGCGATGAGAGCAGCACTGACTGGCGGAAAGGCTTCGTGGATCCAAGGTAGAGCAGAACCGACTGATTCAGTTATGAGTATTAGTGCTTAAACGACAATGAGCAGGAGTTCCACTCTGCTCATCGTCGTTTAAGCACTGCACTTCCGCTCATCTGCTCACTTCCGTTTTCCGAATCTCCGATAGAACGTGCTGGAGAAGTCTTCGATTAGATCATCAACTTCCCCACTTCTTTTTGACCATTCCTTAGATTTTGTCCGTGTTTGTTTTTCAAAATTCAAAGGTAAAATTTCAGATACAATATAATGGTTTCCAAACGGGTTCAAACGGATTTAACGTCAGAAGACCTGTCGAGGCATGAGACTGAGTTCATGACCACGAAGAGGAAGCTCACGGTTGGGGGTTACCTTATATCCTGTTTAGTTTTGACTCTGGTAATCAATAACTTGTTATGAATTGCAGGAGTTGCATAACGAGTTTGCCATGAACCGTTCTGATCTACACGGGAGGTTTGAGGAGATTGAGAAGATCCTTCTCACAAAAACTCAGCTCGTCGAGACTTTATCGAAGCAGCTCGAGGATACATGTAGGGATCAGCGTCAGCAAATTGATTCCCACCAAGAAGAACGAGAGGCCTACAAGAAGTTGGTCGACCAAAGGGGAACTAGGAAGTAATGAGTTGAGTACAAGGTCTTGCAACACGAACATGAACCGACGGCTGAACATCAAGAAGTTGATTTCGGCTGATAAGGGTGTTAGAAGCAAAACGTCAACTGATTCTTAGCGCGCGTCATAGCGGCAATGGAGGCTGGCTTCAACAGGTGATACAGCAGATGTGATGGGAGTATTACTGGTTGGTGGCAGGATGTGACAACGGCTGATCAGTGAGGTGATAAGGGGTGTTAGATCGTTTCGAGAAATCCCTTATCACCAGAATGCCGTTTTCGTAGGTTAGTTTTAGGGCATAAAGCAAAACGTATCCGAAAGGGGCCAGGTCTGGAGAACTCGACGACAAAGAAAGCACTTCCCAGTTGAGGGGTGACAAGACAATCGTAACTCGAAGCGTGCGACGTCTGCCGGCAAATGTCGATGTTTCTAAGTCATAGAGTGACAAGAGACCATGCATAGTCAAAAAAAATAGCCACAAATGTCTACCCAGCGATGTCGTAACCTGCTTGAAGCTGGTGCTCAAATCAACAGAATAATGCAAACTAGGACAACGCCGCGTCTATCGCCGCGCGCGACAGAGCGGGGAATTACTATTGTCCTGACAGTCTCCCCCAACTGATTGTGCTCCTAAATTTTGCGATTACTTCTCGTTGCTACATGAAAAAGCATGCATAGCAACGAGAGGTCGTCATGTAGTGAAGAAACTGGGTAACTTATCGTACTGTTTAGTTCTAGGACTACGTGTGCCATCTTCTGTAGTCTGCTGAAGTACTTCGTCGCCAGTGGAGTAGATTTCTAAGATTTGGTAGCGGAGTACACTCTCACCAACAACCCATTAAGTCCTCGTGATTATTACTGACTTTCGCCCGTAACGAATAGGGCCTAGCTTAGCCATGCCTTCTCATTAAGACCTCGATATTTCAAAAGGAGCAAAGACCGACAGGACCGGTCCAATTCGGTTACGTCCTACACAGCTCATGTCGAGCGCATCTTACGTTGACGATCACTACACTCTACAAAAGTGCTCTCATCTATTCTTACCGGTAGCCCTCAGCTCCAAGAGTGTAATTCACAGCTTCGAACTGTTATAGGACCTTTTACTCAGCTCTCTTAGCATAACGCTAGCTCAAACGAAGTTCGGGGTCAGTCATATTTCATATTTTTATTTTTATAGAAAACTCGAGGATATCTCCGCTGTCGCCGAGAAAGTTCCTCTTCTGGAAAGTCGAATTGAGCAGCTTTTGAAGGCAAGCATTTGATTTCTGAGTTCGAACACCTTCAACTCTGTGCTCACTGCTTTTTTTTCAGGAGAAGAGCGAGTTTGATATCCGTTTTCAAGCTCAGCGCGAAGAAATGGAGCATGCTCTTGAAGAGGCGTTGAAAGAAGCTCTAGCAAAATACAAAGAACAGTCAGATTACTGGACTAGCAAGCATGCTGCTCTGGAGCAAACTCTTGAACGGACCAAGGTGAGGTTGAAGTTCTAGGATGACCTGAGGCAAGTGTGCTTGTGTCGTTTCTCGCATTCACGTCATACCTGTTCGGTTCCATTGAATACGCCATTTTAGCGGGGAAAAAATTGAATGGGACCCATTTCTCTGACATCTGCCGAAGGAAGAGGAGCGAAAAGAACAGACTTCTCGACCAGCTGTCAACTTCATTCAATTCAATTCTACAGCTTTCATCACGCCTCAAGACCTTTTGAAATTTGATAGGAGGTTTTCATCCTCTTTCTTCTTCTCCCGCCCCCGCCCACCCCCCCCCCTCGCCCCATCGACCCCAGAATTCTGGTACAAGTTGGGAATACGGTAAAAGGGTCGTATTTTGCAGAAGTATGCTACAACATGATGTGGGCCCTGAATGGTAGACATTGTCTACGACTTCTAGAGAGATCCAATCCAATAAGAGTCTTATAATGGTCGAGCAACTCATCCTTCTTCTATCACTGTTCGTTTTCAGCAGGAACTCTCCATGCATATCAAAGAGAAAGAGGATATGAAAATGAAATCAAAACTTGAACGTGCCGATCTCGAACGTCGTCTTACAAGCAGTATTGATCATGTGGCTATGTTAAACAGCCAGGTACGCAGTAAAGCACCGCCCACCACATTTTGAAATGATTGGTAGTCAGTCGTTGACTATTCTTTCTCATCCAGTCACCTGCATTGCATGATTTCCTTTCATGGTTACCCTTGCGATGTGATTGGTCGCTTGCCCATTGTCACCACTCAGAGAAGTGTTAGCTACGCTTTTCATTTATTTGATTGCATCTTTCTTCTTTCTAATGAAATTTCATTTATTCAGACTCCTGTTTGAGCTCAAAGCATTCATTCCATCTTCTCAGCTTTACCACTGTAATGTATAATTTCTCTATTAATATAGACCAAACATAATGTATTGAAGGACTGTGTTGAAGGCTGTGACCTCCCTTCCCTCTTTTCGGGACGGCAGTTAACTAGAAGGTTTCAGATGAACAAAAGTAAGCGGGATGTGGAGTGTGAAGCTCGTCCAAGGCATGTCAGCAAATATGTCGCATGTAGGCCGAACTCTAGAAGTAAATCCACAACCATAACAAAGGTAATACTGAATCCTTTTCTGCTTAATTAATAGTTTTCATCTAATCTACAATGTACAGTATATCTTCCTCACAATGTCTTGCCAGCCCTTACAGGGTGATCTGTTCGACGAGAACGAGGAAAGGTTGAAGTTATGTCAGGGTGAATTGGCGACGACGAGGAGACAGGTTCATGTGCTCCAGCAGAAGCTCATCAGTGTCATGCAGGAGAAGGTTACTTTTATATTTTCCGTTCTTAAACTTGAGTCTTGCACAGTGTACTTGCCAAGTGGTGAAACTTGTCCCTACACCACATTCTCCCATCGTACAGCCTGATATCGTCCCAGCTAGCGATGGCATCAGGGATATACCCATCCACCTATTTTTTTCCTAAATCGGTCACTAACCGATCGCTATTGGGAAAGGCAACAGGGCAGGTTCATTTCACACCTTTCGATACCCCTTTGACTGATTGCAACAGTACCAGCTCATTAGTAATTAGACTGGTTGGCCTTCGAATTGTTCAAGCGAGTATCAGTAACGTCCCCTTTAGTCCCTGTGTGGGCCGGAGTAGTCCATCGGACTCTTTTAGCCTGAGGTGTAAGACATGTGACAGGTGTCAGGGGGAGGCCTAAGCCCTTTTGAAGAACGGCCTGCCCGAGGAAATACAAAAGATTGTGTGGGAAGGCTAATGTGGTCCGCAGGATAACCTTGTGCCAGCTTTGCGGCTGAAAGCTGTAGGGTAAAAGAGAGGAGCAAGTTTGCTTTAGTAGCACGTCTCTTTTTCAGGAAATAGAAAATGAAAATAAACTGACAGAAAACGGAGTGGGGTTGGGGGGGGAGGGGGAGGAAGGTGAGAAGGTTGTTTGCATCCTTTAAAAAAATCTCTCCGAAGATTTCGGAGGTCGTTTTCTAAACTTGTTTCGCAACTGTGAACTCTTAACTTTAGGCTGATAAACGTGTACAAATTCGGCGTCGTATCCCTTGTGTTGTTGAGCGTGAACCCGAGGTACCAAAGGCGGATGTTGAGAAAATCGAAGCTCTTCAAACGAAAAATGCTGAACTACGTGAACAGGTGACCACAAGCGAATGGCATGTCAGTTTATCATTGCATATCCTCTTTGCCTTATCTATTTTTCATATTTACACTCTATTCCAGTAACCAGTATGTTGTGTTTCGTTGTGAGCTTTTGTTTTCCCTTGGTTCTAGCGAGTGACAGTACAAGACGATAGCCCTTCTGTATCGTACCTAAGTAGTAATCGTTGTTTCATCGTTGTTTTGTATTAGTTGGTGGCGGCCGAAGAGGAGAAATCTGCACTGGTACGTAGTGAACGTGAACGTATTCGGCATCTAGTCAGTGAGTTCGAGAACGTTCGTCGTGAGCTGGACCAGGTTATTGCTGTTGATTTCGTTCAGTATTCATAGACTATCAAGCAGTGTTTCAGGAGATGAGCCGCTACCAAACCGAAAAGACATGGTTGAAGTCGCGTATTCACAATCTCGAAACTGATAACGAAGAATTACAACGGACTATTGAAGCTCGAGCGGAAGGAAGTACTACATCCAGGGACACAGGGTCATTCAGGTGAGGCAAATAAGCGAAAGGGTACACTCCATACCTTGGCGATGGGTAGGGCGTGGCCGCGTCGAACAAAGAAATCTCTACTGTTCAAAGTGAAGTAAATAACCGCGCCCTCCTCGTCGCCGGGATAGAATATCCGAGGAATAAATCTGTATTTAACACGATAGGTCTTCATTCCGCTGGAGAAGTCGGCGCCAAGCTAGCGCCTATTGGCACCGAATGGTGCTGGCGTCTAAAACTTTATAGTGATATTTGAATATCGCTCCCTTTTTTATTATCTACAAGTTAAACACGAAAAGGGTCCCTTTTCAGGAAAACGTTGTCCGAACCCGAACTAGGCCATGATGATGAGGAAACTGCTCGATTACGCGCGGAAAACATCCAGCTGAAAAGGTTCCCCATTTTCAAACAAGAGTTTTGACAGCAGCATACACGATGGAATTCAGCTCAGATCTGAAGGCAGCCAGAGGCGTGGCTCCGGAGCAGCGATGTTCCGTCGAGAACGGAAGGGGCATATAGTCGCAATCCTAGTGGGTATTTTCGTTTTCTGGCGTTTTCTAGCAACAGTGGTCGGCTCAGCTGAAAAAGAGCCAGTGGTATAAAACGTCGAGGGCGGGTTCACTCACGCCTCCAGTCATCGCCGTCGAATTGCGACTATATCAACTGCATATGAGAATAGTCCACATGGAGTACGCAGCCACGCCTCTTGCTGCCTCTCGATATGGACGTTACATAGTCACACCTCAAACATTTCGTGTGACCGACAGTGCCGTCCAGCTGTCAAATTTCACCGTGTACTGTTTTTGAGATTAAAGTACCAATTAAACGATCATGTACGTGTCTTAGGCGTCAATGATCAGCACCGGCTGGTGGTGCCGTGACAAGTTAGTTGTAAAGCAT